GGACCCTGAGGTCCAGTCTTAATGCCTTGTGGGTCACTGCCCTGTCTGTGAAACTGTACCTTAAAGCAGATGCCATTTGTGCCAAGGAGTACAGTGTGAGCCTGGACTTGAGGGCAGATAGACGGGAGTAAAACTATGCTTATTAAAGCTTTACGGCGGCTAAATCACGCGTGTACTGAGCCTCTGGATTCTCATTTCTAGAGTAGCAAGGAGACCATTGAACTCATGATGAGCTGGAAAGCTATTTGGCTAGGATTCTGAGCCCCTGATATTCCGCCAGCTGCTCGTTGCTGTTGTAAGTGTAGCAGGGTGGCTTAGAGAGGACTCTGGAGAACCCTCTGCTCCTCTCTGCAAGTCCCTGAATCCACACTCCCATCCAATGTTCTCCTGAGTGGAGTTGGATGACTATGGAGACCCGAGAGCGCCTGGAGCTTAAGTTATGGGGAGCACTAAGCCATGCTGGAAGGGGTCCCCTCTGCCCTTCTCAGGACAGGCTGCCAGGTTTACTGCAGCAGCTGTAAGGGATTTTGGATACTTTAGAATGGAAGGGATCTAGGAGGGGATTCTGTGCTGGTTAATTCCCTCTACTAAGTCTTCTGACTCTTTTGTCCATCTCCCCTCCTCCTTTCTGCTCATCATGCAGAAGGCCATGTCTACATCCTGCACCACCCAGATTCCTTTACTTTCTAGAATTGATCAAGAAGGAAAGAGAAGGGCTTATTGCTTTGTTTTCCTCCTGGCATCTGTGAGGTCCTGGTAGTGGCTCTTCTCTAGGTATAGCTTCTGTAGAATGGCCCAGCGATAGAGACCATCTGTAAAAATGGTCTCTCTTCTAAATCTTCAGCATTCAAATGCTCAGCTTAGCAATACCATTGCTACCACCTCATCCTCTCCTGCCTTTGGGTGGTAATGGTTTCCTATTGTTTTGATTCTCCAACACCCTTACTTGGAGCATTTAACCCTGCTTGCACCTCTGAATACAGTCCTTTGGTTTGCCTGTTCATAGCAAACTGATCTTGAGTTATGTGGCTGCTTCCAGTCTGTGGCCTCTGTGGCACATTTCCAAGATGGAAGAACTCAGAGACCTTGTCATGTGATCTCAAGACGCACTGTCTTCCTCCTTTCTCATGAACTGAGGCCCCTGACACATCCATGAATACTCTTCCTTTTATGGCAAAGGTGGTGGCAGTGGTACTGAGTTCTCCTTAATGTCTTGGACTCTTCCTGAGCATAAAACAATGACACGTTACAAGTACAATAGCGCCTGGCACAGTGCCATTTATGAAGGACACAGTCATTTATGGAGGACACAGTATCAATGGCATCTTTAGGAATTGATGTGTGATCTCTCAAAAATATTTGGACATGGTAATTCATGTCTATAACTTCTAAACTCTGGGACTGTGGTTTGGGGCCAGAGGCAGGAATATCATTAGGTCAAGGATGGTTTGAGCTAAACCGCCAACCAGAATCTAAAACCAACCAACCGACCAAACAACAATAACAATGGAACAAAAAACACAACCCAAAACAAAATAAAAACCCAGGAAGAAAACAGAATGGCAGTGTTGAGTTTTGTAGGCTGACTTTTCAGTGCTGTTATGTTGTCTTAGGAATGAAATGGGCCTAGCAGTGTTTCTTGATTCACAGAGAGACAGAACTCATAGGATGCCCTTCCCCAAGGCATCTCTCAAAGGTAATTGGCATGTGGGGTTGAGAATGTGGTTTAGTGGTAGAGTGCTTGCCTAGCATGCATGAAGCCCTGGGTTCGATTCCTCAGTACCACATAAACAGAAAGCCAGAAGTGGGACTGTGGCTCAACTGCTAGCCTTGAGCAAAGGAAGTTTGGGCAGTTCCCAGGCCCTGAGTTCAAGCCCCAGAATTGGCCAAAAAGAAAACAAAACAAAAAAACAGGTAATTATATGTATCATTGCATCTTCTAGGGTGGTGATATAAACATCAGAGGGTTTGACGGGAAGATGTACTTCTGTCAAGAATAACATCTTCTCTCATTAGAAGTGTCCGTTAGAGGTCAGGATTGTGATCACCCATAGAAGAGGATCATCACAAATGCTGAGCTCATATGGTACAACATATTTAGTCAATTCTGACCAAATGTTACCAAAAATTAGATTATCTCAGAGAAAAAAAATCCTAGCAACTCATTTATTTTGCAACAGCCAGACAAAATAAATGTGGTTTTGATTTTGTATGGAAATATTTTGGGGAGGTCACCTGTTGCTTCTGACTGCCAATACCCCTGTTTCTTTTCTAAACCTGGCGCCTCCTTTCCCCTCTCCTTTTGTGTCACAGTTTGGCCTTTCATACATACAAATGTTTCAACACTGGAGTCATTTGTGGCCTTATCACATTTTCTGCTTGTTTTAAGGTTAATGTGCCAGGCTTTCCTATTTTTATTTTTTGGTAGTGCTGGGTCTTAAACTCAGGTCCTCACTCTTGCTTAACAGGCCAATTGAACCACTCTTTTTGTGTTGGTTAGTTTCAAGATAGAATCTTGCCTTTTTCCCCCTAGGCTGGCCTGGACTGCAATCCTCCTGTTTGTGTTCTCCTTGTCCCATCATTGTGTTTCCATTGTAGTTTGGGATAACAAGCCTGCTCTATTGTACCTAGCTGTTGGTTAAGATGGGGGTCTAACAAGTTTTTCTGACTGGGCTAGCTTAGAATCACAGCCTGCTGATCTTTACTCCCAACTAGTTAGTATTACAAGCTTGAACCACATTGTCTAGCCGGGCTGTCTTAATTTTGATAGACTATGCTTAACATTGGCTGATACTCAATATTTTCAAACTATAAGAAAGGAGACATTTAGAAAATAGGTGAAGAAGTGTTTCTATTTATTTAATCAAACTAAATGTTAGCTAACTTGTTAAATAACCAATATTGTTTAAAAAAAATTATTCCCCAATCAAATAATTTCAACACCTCTGATTCTGAGCACTGTCTCTGTCTTGGACCACTTTATGTCCTATTGTCTCTTAAAGCCCAGGGGTCAGAGATTTCCTTGGTATGCCCTGTAGGGTCTTGGTCTGTCCCATGAAAGACAGACAGGGTCGAGGAAAGGTAAGTGCAGCCGCTTGCCTGTTCCCCAGCCTGCCTTAGCCTGGGAGATAATCAGACACAGCGGGGAGTCAAGTCAAGCAGGAAAACTCATTTATTAACACAGAACAAGCCCTTTTTAAAGCAAAAAAGAGCGGGTGGCATGGCAGGGGAGGAAGAGGAACCAATCAGTGTCAAGGTCACACCCTATCATGCACCTAAGCTTCCATGGGCTGGTTACGCACTGAACGTAAGGCAAATTGGGCTCTGCCCACTCAACTCCCTCTCAGCGCCATCTTTGCTGCCCATGTGCTCTACAATGCCGGAGCCACCTTGGAATTTAGGAGTAAAGCATTCTTTCTCTTTCAAAGCATTTTTTGTCACTATCTCCATGTTAGTACTTGGCATATTTTATGTTCTTTTCTAGAATGTATACAATTTTGTATGTGTGATGTCATTTCTTGTATCCTTAGAAATTTGGCGATGGGGGGCTGGGAAGGAGGCTCAGTGGTAGAGTGCTTGCCTTGCATGCATGAGGCCCTGGGTTCGATTCCTCAGTACCACATAAGCAAAGAAAAAAAAAGCCGGAAGTGGCGCTGTGGCTCAAGTGGTAGAGCACTAGCCTTGAGGTGAAGAGCTGAGGGACAGCGCCCAGGCCCAGAGTTCAGGCCCCACAACCGGACCCAAAAAAAAAAAAGAAATTTGGCGACGGAGGTAATGCCCTGCTCATCTTGGTGTTTTTCTGTATTCACAGAATGCAGCCTGGTGATTTACACGTAGCATCATTACAGTACTTATTCAATTAGTGAGCAGAGAAAACAATTCATAGAAACTTACCTGAAACAAAGGAGGGGACAACAATGCTTGATAAGAAATGCACTCATTACCTTGTCCATGTAATTGTAACCCCTCTATATGGTATTTCCACAATTAAAAATATATATATATATATGAAACTTACCTGAAAGGAAAGACAAAGGGAAGTTGATGACAAAAACCAGAGGAATAGCAGATGAGACAAAATCACGGATGAGAGTAACTGGGCAATTATAGTTCAGGTGGTGACAAAATGGCAGAGTGGATTAAGGAAGGTTTAGACTTGGAAGGCACAACTATTTGTTCAGATGTTTTGGTTTCTCTTCCCTTTCCTTCCTCTCATTCCTCCTGTCAGCGCACTAGTAATATAAGGGGATATGTTCTCGGCATCATTTGAATTTAAGATTTAGGGAATTCATAGGAAATACATGTCTTATTACAATGTAAAGTAGTGTCCTTATTTGTGAGAATGCTCTTAGGAAAAATCTTGGTCCTGAAAAATCGTTAGGTTAAAGGAGTTGGGAGGATGACCTATTAGCCATGCATCTCTGCTGTAACTTCCTTTTGCTAGGCTTTCTCTTTCCTTAGGCTTTTCACCTTTTTCAAATATAAATAACAATGATATGTTGAGGAAGGGATGGGAGAATACAATGTTTAATTCTTTGCTTGGACTCTATTACACACACATACATACACACACACACACACTCCCACCCCCCCTTAGTATGCCTACTGTCTTTCTAAGTATAAAAGCTTCTCTAAATCACAGCCCCAGAAAAAGCAGGTTCTGTGCACACTTAGCCTTGAGTCAATCTGCTCTTCCCAATGAATTGTGGCCATGTGCTCACCACATGCGAGGATGAATGAAGGTAAGGTTTTGTCTTAACTCATATTCCTTCTGATGTGGTGCCATTGTGTCTGGCCCTTACCCGTCTCACTGAATGTATACAAGTGGGTGAATATACACAAGCATGAAAGAATGAATAATCGAACAAAGAAATTTATCATTTCACTTTAATTTGCTTCAAAAAATACTCAGCATCTCTTATCTGTGTTTTGGCCTATAGCCATTTGAGAATTGTCAAAGACTTTGGTATGTTATGATTTTCAAATAACAGACAAAAACATAGTTTTATGAAGATTTAATAAGGCAATAACATTGCCAGCTGATTTTTATCATTAAGGACATTTAATAAATTTTTTGTTAACATTGTTTTCAATTTGTTTAAATATTTACGAACATGACTTTCCAGAGAAAGCAATATCTGGAGGCTATTCTATAGAGTTCATCTTGGTGTGGTTGCAACTCTTTGGTGTTTTACCTTGTTTTGATAAATTCTGCCAGAACTATTCCTTAAAAGCTGCCGAGTGGCTTTGGTGCCCCTTCCTTCCTGCTTGATCCATCTTCCCCTCATCCCAGATGAAAGCCACAGTGATCTTGGAAGATTCAGGTCCCTTGGGGTGGTGAGATTCAGGTCCCTCGGTGTGATGTTCACAGTTCATCATCTTCTGATAGGGAATCCAGATAATCCGAGTCAACGTAGAGGAGAAATCCAGAAAATAAGCTATCTGCCCAGCCTGGGTCTGAGAAGAGGCCATTCTGGTCATTGAAGAAAATCTCCAGCCAGACTTCATCCTCTGGCTGCAGGTAGATGACAGTGGACCCGGAAGCGACGTCGTGGTTCCCCGTATTGGCATCGAAGGTCCTTATCCGGTACTGTCCATTGTGGACCAGCCCGATGGCTAGGTGCTTGTTGGCCAACGTGATATCATAAGAAAAATAATAGATTCCTGGGAAAGCGCAGATGAACTTCCCGGTGGCGGGGTTGTAGTGCTCCCCCTCATTGAAGAGAACCTTGTTAAATAGGATAGGCAGTCTTTCTTCGGGGTAGCTGGTTGTGATGCCCACGGAAAAGGCGGACTTGAGCACCAGGCTGCCGCATCTGCACACACCGGGCAGCCCGGGCTGGCCCTGTTCTCCACGGTCTCCCTTGGCTCCAGGAGGGCCCACCGGACCAACTTCTCCTTTCTCTCCCTCGGGTCCCATGGGTCCTTTCTTCCCGGTCTCTCCTTGGTCCCCTTTCTCTCCAGCAAGACCCAGGGGTCCAGTCTTACCTCTTAGACCTTCAAAAAGAGTTGATAATTTGGATCAATGGTTTCTTTAAAGAGTTACTAACAGCTTACCCACATCATCTCAGCACAACCTAACGAATCGATCAGCCGACCTGCATGCAACAGTGTATCTCTAAGTAAGAAATCCTTTAAGAATCCTTAGTGCACTAAAAACATAGAAACATTTGAACAGAATTTTACATCCATTTTCACAAGTATGAGAGTCTTCATTTACGCCATGACTAATGAAGATAATTAACCCTCACTTTCGTGATGAATCCTTTGCTTCTCACCAACATCCAGGTACTGGTCGCTGTAGGAAGAATTCATTATGATAATCTTACTCCCTACAGGAAGTTCTTGAGGGTGGGGGTGGGGGCAATATAGAACCAGACAAGTCCTTAGAAACTATTTCACCTCATTTTGCATTAGTATTAATAATAAAAGAATCACAATGAAGAGTACTTATATTTATTAACCATTTACTTTGCAGCAAGAACAATGTTTCATTTGCATGCACTGTCTTATTGACACCTTACAAGGGGGAGGCAAGTGGGGGAGTCTTGAGATTCAAGGCATATGTTGAAAAATTAAGAAAACTGAAGGAAGGGAAGTTGAGGGGGAGGAAAGAGTGACCAAAGGGGTGACATTGATCAAGAGGCCCTGTGTTCATGAACTGTTTTGTTGAATGGCAGCTCCTTTGTGGAACTACTTAAAGATCATACAAGTATATTAAACAACAGAAAACCCAAACAACAAAAAAGGAAATGAATGTTAAACTGAACCCCATATTTTTGCACAACTATCTAAAGATAATAGGATAAATAACTAAATAAAGGAATCCCACAAAGACTTTACAAAAAAGCAGGAACTGCTATTTCCACTGTCAACGAGGTAAGTGAACCATTGAGAAATCAGTTTGTTTAAGGGGACTGATGATTAGTGAGCAATGGCAGAAGATCTGAACTCATTCCTGCTTTACTCAGCTGCCTCTGTCTCCACCACTGGGAGTGTGGTAGGAGTGTAAATTGTAAAGGGTGGCTGATGCCTGGAGAAGGCTCAGTATGCTATACTAACAAAAGTATTATGAGTGTCACCACCATATAATAAATCCTGTTAATCCCAGAGTAATGAAGAAGCACGCTTGCATAGCAAGTTGGGACTCCAACCCATGTCATTCTCCTCTCCCTCTGTCCAGCTATCTCTTACCTTTGAGGCTGAACTCAAGAATCCTAATTCTGGCTGACTGTGCTGTGTGGTTGGATACTTTTAAGCAAGGCCTTTGAGAGTTTTTTCTTTTCATCAGTTGTGGGGCTCAAACTTAGAGCCTGGGTGCTGTCCCTGAGCTTTATCACTCAAGGCTAGCACTCGACCACTTTGAGCACAGCACCACTTCTGGTTTTCTGGTGGTTAAGTGGAGATAAGAATCTCATGGACTTTTCTGCCTGGACTGGCTTCAAATGGCAATCCTCAGATCTCAGCCTCCTGAATAGGTAGAATGACATGTGTGAGCCACCGGCATCTGGCTGAATTTTATTTTATATGTAGAAGAGAAGTAATAGTTGTGAAAGGATCTCAACAAATTCAAACTCACCATACAGGGTTATTTTCTGTATGTCCAAGTTATGTTCAAATTTTTATATCTGAATATCCACTAAAGGCTAAATGCAAAAGAAAGAAAGAAAAAGGTAGGCTCAGTTGGAAGTAAAAGGCAAAATTACTTTTTTTGGGTAAAAATAGGAATGACTCAATATCATAAAAAGATGTTATCCAGTTTTATGAGCAATTCCATTGAACAAATAGTGCTTATATAAGAATATTTTCTCCTAAAGGAACCAAATTTTGAGTAATCTGTAATGTACTTTTGCCGTCAGAGGAAATAGTTGATGCAGTTTCTCTTTTTAACCATGGTTTTGTTCTCAAGACTTTCTATGAAGCCAAGGCTTTTTAATCTTGATAGTGTTTTGATATCATTTATTTGCATGTTACACATACGTCAACATTGTTGTTTCCCCCCGTTAGTTGGCAAAGTCAGCAATAGAGTGTTCTGGACAATGTACATTGAAGGGAAATGAAATCTGCATCTATCCTTAAGACACCAAGTACTCTGTTTTAATAATTTTTGGAAAGCAGCTGTTCAACAATTTATGATGCATACTTCTAACAATGAATATGATTTTTTTCTTGGTGAGTTGGGATTACTGTCTTGTCCCCTAGCTGTAGATGGGTTTTGTTGTTAAGTTAAAACTCTACTAGTTCCAGCAAGAATACATTCTGATATCTGTTTATTGAAATAAGATATTAATAGTCTGAAATTTCCTTGTTCATTTCTTTGGGTAGAAGTGGAACAGCCAAGCTATTTTGCCATTAAGTTAACTTCAGAATCAATGTCTGTGGCTTTTAAATGATCATTTGTCTTCATTAGGAGCTGCACTTTTTTTCTCTGTCGTCATCACTGGCCTTTGATGCATTAATCAGGGGGAAAACAAAGGAGGAGGCAACAATGGTCAATAGGAAATGTACTCATTACCTTGCTCATGTAACTGTAACCCCTCTGTACAGCATTTTTGCAATAAAAAAGTACACAAAATTACATGAAAAAATTATTTTGGTCCTAGTAATGATTTTAAACCTAAGACTTCATTACAAACTCACTCCTCCCACCTCTGATTTCCAGCAAGTCACTCCTTGTCTGATTTCAAATATTCCATTTGTTAATATGGGGAAAATGAGCCTAAGTTTACCCCAAACTAGTCAGTGGTTCTGGGACAAAAACCTGTCAGCCATAGTTATTGGGTCTAAAGCAGGAGCTTGATCTCTCGGATTTAAGCTTCCCAGTGTTGAAACTACTGAGATTGAATCATAAGAAGTATTGGAATGCAAATAATAGTAATGGAATAATATTAGTATTAGAATCATGACATTGGAATCTCAATGCTTGGATTTTCTATAACAATATTTAGTATGCTCAACTGCTGGCTGATCATCATGGATCATTAATTTACAGCAGTTATTCATTTTTTTTTCTGAAAAAGAAAGTTCATATGTTCAGGACCTACAGATTAAGACTAGAAAGAAGGGAGGAATTATTTTCCCTACTCAGATAAATGCTTGCATAGAGAGGAGAATTCTGAGTCATGGTTGGTTAATGCTTAGCTACTGTAGCCCAGACAGAAAGAATTTCTTCTTAATTCCCCATGAAGTATGTTTTTCTGTATTTGACCTTCCATGTCATCTACCTAGCCACCATTTATGGATTTTTGCATATACTCAGAAAGCAAGGTAACTGGGTGTCGGTGGCTCATGCCTGTACTCCTAGCTGTTCAGGAAGCTGAAATCTGAGGATCAAAGCACAGGAAAAAAAGTTTGTGAGACTCTTATGTCCAACCAGTAAAAAGCCACTAGCAGAGTTATAAGTACATGAACATAGGTGGATTGGTGGAGATGGGGTATAACCACATATGATTCAAACTGTAGGGATTCAAAATACTTAAATCTGAGATAACACTAAAATTTCATGGGACAGCTTAAATACTTTTAGCATACCATATGGCTATCTTTGCAGATCTAAATATAACAGCTAACATTTACTGAGTGCCTACTACATAGCAGGTATGCTCCGAAGTGTTTGCAAGTATTCTTGTTTTCATGCTTCACAATCACCTTTACTATTACTGGCTTAAAACAAGGGAATTGAGAGAGATTACAAAGGCTTTCCCCAAGAATAAGTAACTGAAAGAGCCAAGAGATATCTCTATCTATCTATCTATCTATCTATCTATCTATATTATTGTTAGTATAAAGGAGATTTTTCTGACTTCAATGTTTATACATTTGGCAATGATATTATTTCTAGATATAGTAAAACTAAATGTATCAGTAATATCTCACCATAATCTTGATGCTGTTATCTGTTTCCAAAGATATTCCTGGCTCAGTGGTCTAGAATAATACATTTAGGGTCTAGATTCAAGGTTCTGATGTTGTATCTTTACTTACAGATATCTAATAGTGAACAGTGCTAGCTATTAGCTATTCATTTGTCAACTATTTCCTGCAAGGAAAATTCATTTATTTTACAATATCTGAATTTTGTTGTATTGTCTCACAGAAACCCAGGAAATCATGATGGTTAGATTAAAAGCATGGTTCCTAGAGCTAATGATTTCTCCCTCCCTTCCTATTCTTTGTCTCAACTTTACCTTCAGAAAGTTGTTTTCAAAGATTGATTCCAAATCCCATCCTCTTTTAAAAGTTCACGCAGCCTGTTTAGAATTTCCATGTGGCTTACCTTGAAGGGGGGCACAGTCTGGCAAGCTTCCCAGGCCAACTTATTTGTGGGAGGACAAAAGTGAGAATTACGGAAAGGCGAGGGGACAGTTGTGTTGCTGTCAGGAGCTGTAGAAATCTCAGTTTTCACTACTACAGGCCAGGAGGAAGGCGATGAATTGGGAGAGATAGCAATGTGAGGCTACTGTCATTTCATCTGTGAAAAATAAAGTCTAGAATCCTGTGTGGGGAGAGGGGGATCTATATTCAGTGTATCAGTAGAGGACAGAATGACACTGGATGTCTGGCTTCTAATTTTCAACTGTGTTCAGTTTGTAGACCTCTCACCCTGCCCATCTGTCGCTCTCTATCCATGCACTGAGCCATTGTTTGGAGCTAGAATAGCTTGGTTACCTCAGGCATCTAACATCACAGTCTACCTCTGGCAGGCATGAAAATCGCACCTGCTATGCCTCTTGCCTCCAAACCATTTCACCATGCCATGGGTTTCCTCACTCCCCTATACGCTAATGTCTGTCTGAGTTGTCATGTAATAATGTAAGGATTCAGGTCAAAAGATCAATGCAGTATCTGAAGAACAGTAAGGACTGAATAATATTTTTTCTTTCTATGGGTAATGGGGCTTGAACTCAGGGCCTATATACTGTTTCTGAGTTCTTTTGCTCAAAGTGGGTACTTAAACAATGGAAGTTGAGGTACAGCTCCACTTCCAGCTTTCTAGCAGTTAATTGGAGATAAGAGGCTCAAGGACTTTCCAGCCCCAGCTGGTATTGAACGATGACCCTCAGATCTCAGCTAGGACTAATTGCTAGGACTACAGATAGGCACCACTGGTGCCTAGCTAAATTCTTATGATGAATAATGGTGAAATACAGAAGAAAAAAAGGAGCAAAGACAGAGGGAATCGTTTCCAGGTGGGGGTGAACGAGGTGTATTTTTTTAATGGAGTTCATGTATTACCTGCAGTTCCTTTTTCACCTTTCTCTCCCTTCCTGCCATCTCTGCCATCTCTTCCCGGAAGGCCAATGCGGCCATGGGGCCCAGGTGAGCCATTTGCTCCAGGCGGGCCTGGAGGTCCAGATAAGCCAGGGATGCTACAGATGTACTTCGGGCTGTAGTTCTCTCCTTTGGCCTGGTTGCCCCGAGGCTGTCCACTTGCACAGATGGCAAAGCTTGTAACATAGAGCAAGACAAACATCTTTGGCTCTGGAAGAGAAACACACACGGACATAAAGGCACCCTCTCAGGGTGAGGGTTTCGCATAATCCATTCCGTCTGAGCGTGAAGAGACACATTTGTGAGAACTCACTCCAGCGTGTGTCTTTTCCACATGTGTAAGGCACTGGTCCCCTTCCCTCCCTCCTCCACCCCCCCCCCCAGCCCCATGGCAGGCTGCTAGCACACGCTTTTGACACAGAGTTCCCACTGCCCTGGTGCAGATGAAGGACTGGTTTACGTTTTTTCAATGAAGTTTTTGCCAAATTATCCCTTAAAAAAAATAGCAAATGAAAGGTGGAAAGGAGTAAGATCAGTATTGGAACTGTTGACCCACTTGGAGACAAGATGATTACTGCTCATGAGGTTTTTTGTTTTTGTTTTTGGTGTCAATCCTGGGGCTTGAACTCAGGGCCTGGGTACTAACCCTTAGCTTTATCGCTCAAAGCTGGTATTCTACCACTTGAGCCATGCTCCACTTCCAGAATTTTGGTGGCTAATTAGAGATTCTTAGACACTTTCCTGTCTGGCGGGCTTTGAACTGCCATCCTTGGCTTCCAGGTGTGATCAGTACCCGGCCCCCTCTCAGTTTACTCCATACATCTTCCCAGCCCTTTTTGTCAATGATGTACAGGAAATGAGACTGTGACACATCCATAATCCCTTAACAATTGCAGTATGTCAATAATTGTTCTTTCTAACAAGTTATTCTTGACATTAAATATCATTGCTTTGCTCTGTACTTTTATGTATATGGCCACCCATTATGTTGTTTTCAGTGTTCTGTCAACATAAACACCATCTGGATATCACTCTGACTAATCTCTGCATGCATCCTGGGTCATTTTCTTAGGATTCTTGGGCTTTTGATAACAGAGTGAAGGAAAAGGCATTTTTTCAGGAAAACCATCTTTTTCACTCGATAATCATGGGTAATGCCAGTTCACGTTAATTGGAGTACTGCGCATATCCGGAGGGGAGTCTCAAACTTTAATTTAAAATCTGCAGGATATAATGCTGTGGCGCCCCATTAAGCTGTTAGTACTCGGGGTCAATTAAAGAGCTGTGTGAAATTAAGCCATGCGTGGTGCCACGCTGCTCTGAGCGAAGGAGGCAGCAGCGTGCCTCAGTTCTAATTTAATAGGACTTGGGTTCACCCTCCACAAAGCTGCAAGTGGGGAAGGACTAGTCCTTTATTTGTAGGGCATCCTGGAATACAGGCGGAGGGTGGATGGAGAGGGACAGTATAGGCTGAAGCAACCTGATATTTTAAGGTAAATATATGATCCTTAGGATGAACAAAAAAGCCAAGCCTGAACATGAGTGCCCCTCGCCCCCCACCAAGTTCCAGCCCCAGTACTGGTATGTGTGCATGCATGTGTGTATGTGTCTGTGTGTGTGCACACTCACATACCACCACCACCACTGGAACGAGGTAATCAATTCAGTACACAGCATAATCTAACTACAGAATATTTTAAAAATCCCCTAAAGAAAATATATCCATTAGTAGGCATAGCTCAATATGTTTTAAAGCGTTACATTATGCAAATGTATGTGTACAGTGTACTAAAGTGCAGTTTTTATTTTATACTTTCATGCTCCTTTAGAGTTAGAAAAATCAAAGCTCTGGAAACAATGCTAATCCTAAACAGGTCTGTTTGGGCTGCTAATTGGAGATTTTTTTTGTCTTATTTTTCTATAGAGACAACAATGTAACAGGATTTTAGCTTTTAAAACACATATTTAAAAGCACATATTATATACCAGAGCTTTCATGTTAATGATTGTTTTGAATCTTTAAGACCGAATTGTGACTAGTAGTAGAGACTGGTTCCTAAAGTTTTCAGTCAAAGGATCTTTTGTTTGCTAATCTAGTGATGGGAAACACTTGGAGAAATATTATTTTAGTCCATGTAAGGGTTGTGCTAGCTAACACTTTCATAGATTGAGATATCCTTTTGGAAATTACTAACAACATATAAGCATACTTTTGCTTCTAGAAAGAAAAAAATGCTGATGAAAATGGAAAACATTATAGCAATTCTCTAAAAAAGTTAAATATGAAGTTACCATAGAACCTAGCAATTCTACTTCTGAGTATATATTCAAATGAAGTAAGCCTAGAGACTCAAACAGATTTTAACAACATTATCTGTGGTAGCCAAAAGGTGGAAGTAGCCTGTGTCTAGTGTCCAATGATTGGATAAACAAAACATAGTAAACACATACAATGAAGCATTATTTGGTCTTATAAAGGAAGGATCTAATACAACGTGGGTGAATGAGCCTTCAAGACATCATGCGAGCCGACGTTAGCCACTCACCAAAGGACAAGCATGCATGATTTCTATCACATTCTTTAGTCACATTTAGAGAGGCTGAGATTCCACAGTCTCTCTGTGGCTGTGCCTGAGCTGTCCTAAGATGGTACCGTCAGGATTTGAACTGAGTTTCTTTTTTGTCTCTGAACCCTTGAGAGAGGGAAGCTATCATATCCGATTTCAGGACAAAGGGCTGGATTTGATTGTTAATTCAAGTGGAAAACGCATGTTGCCTGGAAATCATTGGAAAGGGAATAGGTGACCAGGGAGAGGCAACACAGGCCTTCTTGTCCTCCAATGTGGAGATTTCATTCCAGTAAGGCTTTGTTCTTCCCTGGCTATATAAGGAGAGGTGCTGACTTGGAATAGGATAGGGCCTTTACCCGTCCACACGCAGTTTCTTCTGTGATGCAGCTCTGATGTTTTCCTTTGGGATCCTGATTTCCTCTGTTGAACTATTTTTCCTGTATCAATCAGCTCCCTGGCCTTAACACTAGACAGGTCCTCACAAAGGTCATGCAATATCTGGTGTCATGGCTTGGTCCCTAGCAATGAGCAAACTCACATTGTAGGACAGAAACTGGGCGGTGATAGTAGAGGCCGAATAAAGAACGAATGAAGGAAAAAAAAGTATATATTCATCAGTGTTTAGTATTATCCAAAGTTCACAATTTATAAAGTTTGGGCTTTTTTCAAATGTAATATGATGGTACCACAGTAAAAAAAAATCCTAGTATTTACAAAATATTTAATAGTCTACAAAGCCATGCTAAGTTCTTGTCATCCTCCTAAAGACCTTTAGCCCCATGGAAGCAAGGTCCAGGAGCCATTGTCCATGGTTGTGAACTAGAGTCAGACCAGAGATTTAGAACAAGGTCCCCACTTTTCCTGGATTCTTAATATAGAACCACCTATTTAATATACTAAAAATCTACCCTAAGGAAGACAAGCCACTGCACCTACATTTGCCAAAACTCTACAAAGAGGAAAAACATGCCATACCGTGCTCTGAGTTGGTTTCCTTCAGGATTCTCAGTGCAAAAGGGATCTGAGGATCTTTCATGAGAGTTCAGTGAAAAACTTGCTTTTGGTACCAGACAGAATGGTGGGTCCAAGTTCTCAAAAGATTTCTGAAATAGTTGTGCTAAAAATAGTCCCATATAATCCCAAAGAGCCAGAGGCCCTGGAAGTTATTCATCCAGGAAAGCTCAACTCAGGGACCAGTTAAAACGACTGTTTTCTTTGGGATAAGCTCGAAATGCCTGCTTTCCTTGACTGGTCAGTTTTGAAGCTTCTCCATCTCTGATGTGCTGTGGCCTCATTTTCAGATTGGTTTATTTAGTGCTTTCCCTGTTCATTTGTTTTCCATTGAGTGGAGGGTCCAGGAAAAAAAAAAAATGACTCTCAGCTTGGAAATGAGAGTTGTTAAGTTAGAGAAAAGAGTCGATTCCTATTAGAGAGTTTCTGAAGTAGAATCTTTAGAGTCTAGACCCAGGTGGTGTCCTGGAAGAGCTAGGGGGCACTACTCCAATTCTTGGTAAACATGGCAGGAAAATGGTCCTTCGCTCTATGGGTTGCATGAAAGTAAGAGGGAATGAGTACCATACTGACGTTTTCTTTGTTCTTTGTTGAATGGATAAATGATTGAGGATTTTCAGACTAATGGGCCTTTGTTCCCACAAAGAACCCATCATAACAACTCAAAAAGAGGAACGATTGTCCAACGTCTAAGACTAGTCATCTTTGGTGCAATCAATTTCTTTGTGTCTTTTTCATAGGGATTTCTCATATCTCCTTGGCAACAGCAATATATAATTCATAGATGTCATTTATGGAGCTTAAGTGACTGGAAAAAAAATCTTGTTTTCATCTTGCTTTCTCCCTTATTCTTTTCAAGCAAGGAGAACTCTAAAGGAAAGAATTGTTTCCAAGAGTTAGGGATGTGAATACAGCCCACACATTTAACCAAAGACAGCAGTGGACTCCATATTCTGATAGGGTTTATTCTTTGTCTTAATTACCCAGGAAATGGTCTTTTGAATTTGCTGTCTTTCAATATCTGAATGCTGACTTGGCATGGCAATAAAATACCTTGAGCATAGATGCAAGTCACTTTTTATTTGTGAATTAGGGTAGAATATCATCAGAGTCCCTCAATTGTTTTCTCATCCTCAAAGTAAAATGGTGAGCCTGCATAATTTCTAAGGTCCTTATAATTCTGAATATTCTCTCACAAGGTGTATCAATTGTCAGTTTTAATTTCAGGTGGTCCAAACTTTTAATATGTGTATTTGTTTGTAAGTGATGATCTGTTCTAGAAAGGGTTTTTATCATTCGATTTTTGGAAAACAAAATCTCTGCCACAGAATTTGAGTGATTTTGATGGCCAATAACAAGATAGATGTGGTCTCAACTTTCGACTCATTTAGCCATATGTTGGCATAGTTTATAGATACTCATATTGGTGTGTGTTTGTGTGTGTGTACACGTGCGCGTGTGCTTCATACCTTCTCTAGTATCCTTTTAATATTGCCTACTACAGTTCAGATTTTTTTAAATCTTTTTTTTCATGTCAGTCCTAGGGCTTGAACTCAGAGCCCGAGTGCTGTCCCTGAGCTTCTTTTGCTTAAGGCTTGTGTTCTACCAATTGAGCCATAGTGTCATGTT